TAACCTGTGGAATGAAGTTTCAACTTGGTGGATATTGCACTTTTCGAGAATACAGTGAAAAACAATAAATAGCAGTCTTTATTTCCAACGATCAGTTAATTTACTGACCGTTGGAAATCATCTACATTTCTTGATTTTCTTAAATGACAAGCCAGGCGGAGCCATTTACCAGATGTTTAGGCCAACAAACAAAACAGTCCTGCTTCCAGTTTCCCTACCTATATTCTGACAGCCTCTACCCTAATTATTTGTTATGGAAAAAAAATAAGAAGAAAAAAATCACCCAAAACCATTAATTGATACCTTTACCCTTGACTACACGCAGACGCCTCCATCTGATCCTACACAAAAAATCCCTACCTACCTACCCTATTTTCAAATGCAATGTAATCGGAAGCGGAACTAATTTTTTTTTTGCTTAGTACTAGTAAGATCTTTAATCCATTAAGCTTTTTAATAATTCGTTAAGTTACTTTAGGGATAAATGCAAATTAATCTCCTACTTTTCTTTAAGATGTACGAAATGCTACTGTGCGAGTTACACCATTTGAATGCAGATGACGGTGTATGTGGCTGTGTATAGATGAATAGGTTTTGTGGCTACAACTTCGTCTTTTTTTGCTGTTAGACGCTGCGTGCCTAGCCATAGCCGTTTAGACAACAGTGCCCATTATAGCCGACTATATCAGCACTTATGCGAACGCGCGCCGTTCTCTAGCGTGGATCTATTTTCGCAATTTTTGGAGTTGGAACGTGACGGCAGAAAGGAACCTCCGTGAGTCAACAACCGACGAGTCGCCGTGTAATTGTTGATTCTACCAGATTTCATTCTAAAAAACATTGCCGTGTTCTGGCTAGAGTCCAACCTGGATTAGTGGGCATAAATCATGTTTTGCGGCGTTCAAACCTCGGGCAGTGCTGGGACGTGCTGTGATAGGGGAATGAATGTATTCCGGTGTCCTTCACGAATATTTCGGTATCACGGCCAGGTCTTTCTGGCAAGTTCTTGCAATTCAGGGCATGAAGTATGGAAATTCAAATACGTGTACAATAATGTTACGTTCAGAGGCGTGTAAGAGGAAACTGTTGGAGCTCGCAACACGCCTTGAAAAGTGTTTCTGAAAATGGGGCCAAATGGAAAATGAAATGTATAGCCGTTTTCGTCCAAACCGGCTGATATACTGCTGTGTCTCTGTGTTCTCGATGTCTCTCAATGATACTTCAAAATGTCACGTCTACCAAAGCTTCCTGAAGCTTCGAATATGGCCATAGAAATCCACGCATAGTATGTAGGGACACTTGTACCGTGATGTGAACACACAAGGGCGGATTCACAACCAAATTTTCGGTGGGGGGATTCGAAATGCCGGGGAGGGGGCTGGATTCAGTTGACGCTAGAGGGGGCTCCTTTTTTCTTTCTTCTCTTATCTCTATTGTTATGAATATGTAACAGGTTACATATTCATAACAATAGATCCGTAGAGGAAAAGGGAATGAGTATCATCGATTTAAATATAGTCGTCTTCGCTCCTCCTTTGTTTTAATTACTATAAAAAAAGTAATTAAAGAAAACAAATTGACGCTTGCTTGGAGGAAACATGGCCCCCGTTACCCCCTCCCCCGACAAGAAGTGGTTAACATTGGTTAAAAAGTTCATCTTCCATATTATATTGATGATTGCACCCTCGCTTTGTAAGATACATCTCTAGATCAAGACCAAGGTGTTCATCAAAATTGGTCAAAGGTCATTTAGCGGTCAGAAGAGGTATTCCGTTAAAATACATAGGCATCCTTGACCTAAGTCCCACAGTGTTGCAAGAATTTGGTTAAAGGTCACCTAATAGTCTGTTTGTGTCATTATTTGGAAAACATGCTACTTTCCCGTTCCAAGCAATCGTCAAGGCCCCAGTATGGAAGTTCAGTAAATTGGGGTCAAAGGTCACGAATCTAGGATTATTATGTACAATTGCACATAGTGCTAAACAACTAGGCGAGAGTTATCACAACAGACTTCAACCACTGACCAACAGAAGAAATGCAGCTAGTCTCTGTCGGACCATGAAGCGCTTGAACCATGGAGGAATACGACAGATAGCTCGCCTTACATAAAACTTGTGAGATTCTGCCTGGCAGAAAAAAAACCTTCCAACGCAAGACACGATCAGCATTGGCTGAACATAGTCATTAGTTAGACTCCTAAATATCACGTACTCACCGCCATCAACTCTCCTTCATACCCAGGACAGAATACGTGGTCAGCCTTGAGTCTCTCACTAAATTTAAGTCCGCTGTTAATCATCTCACAAATGAGCATTTAGCCTCGCTGTGACCTGCACATGATTCTATTTGAGTATAAGTCTTCGTGTGTAGGTTACTACTTCGTGTTTTCCCTTATGTAAAACCTTGTGTTCGGTATACTGTTGGAGCTTGCACCGCCACCGTTGCATGACGGGACTGTTTCGAGGTACCAACAAATTATGACATTCATAAAAGGCTTATAGGCGCTATTATAATTTTCAGCAGTCTCCATTTTTGAGTTGTTGAGTGGTTGTTTAGAATCCATGAGTATTCTAACGGAGTCGTTCTATTTTGATGGTTTCATCGGCTGCCGAAGTTGTGACGTCACTCAAAGGTCAACTCCCTGGAACCATTTTAACCGGTTCACAGCCCACGTGAACACAGTGTTTCGCCTGAAACCGAGTTTTGTTATTGGTTGAATCTCCCCTGGGAAGCGAAAAATAATTACAACTTTGGTATAACTGGTTTGGTGAGAATCTGCTGCATAACTCTTTAAACTTTTTAGCTTCACAATTTGTGAATTTTTTTCTATAGTCAAAAGTAGGGTGTGAATTGCCGTCTGTGATCGTGTGAGTAAAGCCCAGTTTCCATATCGCCGTTAAGCTTACGCAAACTACGCAGACTGCGTAGACAGTGCGCGGAACCGTCGGCAAAGTTGAACCGGGCCCAACTTTGCCGATCGTCTGCGAGACAGTTTGCGTCTGCCTGGGTTGTCGGTGACATTTGCGGATGAAATGTTTCCAGTTTAGGTCTTGTTTGCGTTGCCCTCTGCGTTTCTTACCTCGATATGGAAACTAAGCTTAAAATGTACGTGGGATGCATCGTTAAGGAATGCACGTGAAATGTCGTCGAGGAAGTGAACTTGACATGGTGAGGTCAAGTAGTATTACTATTAGTAGTCAACGTTCACGTTATCCATTATTTGCATCAAGGATAGTAATCATTCAGATCACAATGACACCTGTTAGTCAATCCTAAATTGATCCAGAGGTGTTGACCTTAACTGGCTGGTATTAGGGCACGACTGTTTAAAAGGTTCAATTAGGGTATTTTAAGTCCTCTGGTCAAGTTCATGTGAGCCGATCGCGTATGATTCAATCCATGCCTTAACCGTTTACTCGGGCTTAGGTCACAGGCATTTGTTTTGATAGAGCGAGAGAGAGATAAATACTGGCAAACAAAACTTCCATTTGGTTGAGCTAAATGGCTACAAAGTTCTTAAAATAAGCTGTAGTAACGAGAAAATATGTAACTAGTGTAAGCACAAGTAACAGTCAGTATTACAGATAACTACTAGTACAATCTAATTCACAAGTGACACTGAGTCAGTGAGATGGGTATACACCAGTCTAATTCACAAGTAACTGTCAGTCAATGGGAAGGCAGCCAGTCTATTTCACAAGTGACAGTCGATCAGTGAGATCATGGGTAACCAGTCTAATTCACATGTGACAGTCAGTCAGTGAGATAGGTATACAGTCAAATTCACAAGTGACAGTCGGTGAGTGAGATAGGTATCCAGTCTAATTCAGGAGTGACAGTCAGTCAGTGAGATAGGTACCCAGTCTAATCCACAAGTGACAGTCTGACAGTGAGATGGGTAGCCAGTCTAATTCACAAGTGACAGTCAGTCAGTGAGAAAGGTTACCGGTCTAATTTGGAAGTGACAGTTAGTCACTGAGATAGGTTTTTATAGTCTAATTCACATGTAACAGTCAGCCATTGAGATACGTATAAACCAGTCTAATTATTCATAAGTGAAAGTTAGTGAGGTGGGTAACTAGTCTAATTCACATTATGACGATAAGTCAGTGAGAGACTTAAGCAAGTCTTATTCAAAAGTAACAGTCAGTCAGTCGGGTTCCAACCCTAATGGGGATTTGGTGCTTGTGCTCTTGGGCAAGACACTTTACTGCACTTGCCTCTCTTCACCCAGGATTATAAATTGCGACATGTGGGGGGTAGTAAGCAGGTTGCGCTGATCTTTAGCTGCTGCATACAAGTCCAACAGGTCTGATGACCTAGTGAACAGGGGTAAGATTGCGAACCGTTTTGAGACGTATAAAGCACTAGAGCCAACGGAGAGGGACATCATCGGCGACCAGGCCCCAAGCCGGTTTCAAACGTGGTTGTTTAATACCGGCCAAGCACAATAGCATTTATTCGCAATCGTAAATACGTTTCGGTCAAAAAGTCATAACATGTCAAAAAATTTAAATTTCTAAAACGATTTTGTTCTACAATTTTACTTCATTTTTTAACACCCCCTCCAGCTATGTTTATGGTATGTGCCTCTCGTGAATAGGAGTGTAGTTTTAAAAAGCTCCTAAGATGGAGATTGGCGCGTGCGTGTCGCGTACTGCGCAATATGGCGCAGAACGCGGCGGTGCCGGTGTAAAGTGTGAATTTAGAATTCTATGAAATACGCAGTAATTGGTAGTATTGCGCACGCCTAATTGAAGATTGTGAACGTTCATCTAATCTCATTTCATCTAATCGTTCATCCAAGCTCATCCAAAGGGTAAAAGTGTCAAAATTTCATGTGACACCGGAAAAGTGTTTAATAACCAATCAGTTGGTGTTTTATAAACCGTTTAAAACCACCTACGCGACTGGCTCTCGTCCAATAGGAATGAGTGAACTGCCTTAGGTATTCATGAATTTTAGTTTATATCGTTCATCGTTTGTTTTTCCGATCTCAGGCACGGTAGATGTGTTAGATAAGTTAGACGTTGCGGGCACCTCGAGAGGAGTAACATCTGGGGTGCAAGGGATGTGTAGAGATCGTCCCACTACGGGCGGAGCAGCACCTCAGGAGGACCAGGCGTTTAGCGTCGGCCCAGAGGCCAGTCTAAGCAGAGAGGTCGGCGATATGTTTTCAGGTATGTGCTTATGCTGCATTGTAAGCTTACTAAGCCCAGGCCCAGGGTGTATTCAGTTATCATTTTGTTCAAGGTTTAATTTTGTTTTTACTGAATTGCTGTCGCCACATTCAATGATTGATGGTGAGTTGGACTAAGCTGGTGAAGTGGTACATCAGTACTTGCTTCATTTAAGTTCTACTCGTCATTTAACTTGGTTTGAATTTCCACACACTCGGAATAACTTTTTTGATTATCCAAACCTGTTGTGTTATCGTTTGTATTCACTTTTTGAAAATAATTAGTTTCTCACCAAATAAATATTATACCAAATAAAACACAATAAGCTGTTTTTGCAGAAGATATCAAAAAATTAAATAAATGATTAATTTGTTTATTTTTCAGGTCAATACAGTCAATAAGCAGTTTGCAGCAGTTTTATTCATTAGAAAAAATAAATTAATATATATATATACAATAACCTATTGCAACACCCCTATCAATATTTTATCCAAAAAATTAAGTTCTTGTGTTTTTGCTCTTTTCAGGTGAAAACTTTCCCGAAGATTTTTCGATTCTATTGACGGTCAGAATAGCCCCTCCAGAACGGTCGAAAATGTTTTTGTTCTCACTTTACGAGGCCAACGCCGACGCGAAAATCGTTTTTGATATTGGAAGTCCCTCAGTGCTGCAGTATGCAGACGAACGCAACCAGCCAGGCAAGAAAGGATGGCCTCGATTCAGACTGAGCATTGCAGACGACCGGTAAGAACAACTTTTGTTTTGCGTTCAGATGTCTCTATTAGGCTATCAGCTGCGGTCAAAAAATTGGACCACCGGTATCAAATGATCGAAAGGAGCAATTCTCACAGCGATTTTTTAAAATGACATGCACATCTATTCTAGAGTTGGAAAATGTGTGATAGCGGTGGCATTTTTTTTTTAGTGTTGTCACTTTATTATTTTTTTCTTCCAAATGGCTGGCAATATGCTTGTTACGGGATTAATTACGGGATTAATTATAATGGTAACAAGCATGTTTTGGCCGCCATTTAAAAAAAAAAAACAAAGTGATAGCACCCCAAAGCTGCCACCGCTGCAATGCTATCACATATTTTCCAACTGCAGGGGTGCATATCTTGCCAGAAATCACAATGAGCTTTATTCGCCTAATTTGATACCGACCAAACCCCCAGGCTGATGGCCTATATTGATAGTTAGTAGTTGTAGTTGTTGTTATTTCTTGGCGAAGAGCCAGCGTGTTTTCGTCTTGAGTGACTGAGTAAGTAACTGGCTGCGGCTGCCTGACTGACTGACAGAATGACTGATTGGCTGAGCCACTGTGATTGGACAAGCCTAGACTTCTTAACTTTTCTTTGGGGGATGCGGAGATATGCCAGCATTATTTATATTAATTATGCAGTCTGAACATCTGAAAAAGGTCAAAATATATGTTTTGATTCGGGATGTCCCATAAACATTATCATGTTGCAGCCATTTGATTTTTCCCCATTCAAATCAATGTAACCAAAGCGAGGCTGAAAGGAAAAATAGTCTGGTTCCTTTTTGAACAAAACAAATTATCATTCAGTACTGTTATTGGATACAGGTAACATGACTGAAATGGTGGCCTCGTGATAAATGTCTATTGCATCGATTATTTAGGCAATGCGAGCTTCAGTTAAATTGAAGACCCGCCTGTGGAAAGAATGTAGTATCCAGACGCCACTTCTGTGGCTGTGTACAAAGTCTATGGAGAGTCAAGTGCATTTTCAAAATATTTTCGACCAAAATTGTAGATGTTCCAGATTCATGTCTTTTCAACGTTTTTGCAATGAATGACCTCCATTAAAAGTGGCGTTAGAATGCAACATTCTTTCCTCGCCTTTTCATGATCGTCAACAGGCATGACATACATTTTGTTGTTGATTTAAACCATTTTACAACCGGAAAGACCCCACTTTTATCAACGATATCTTCCGAAAGTTGACGAACGTGTGTTCGGATATTTTCGGAATCGGGAGATTTCCGCCCGCTGACGTTATCAGTTGGTCACTTGATATGGGTGACCCATCCTTGACCTAAAAATCCCCATATGATCGTGATCGGGAACCTGACTCACAGTCAGAACGATTCATGCACATTGTAGGAACCGTGGACCATTCTATCCCACCTCCCTGGTGCACGGCACGTTTATTACACAGGTATCAGCGATCAACAGCGTGCGAAAACCAGCGAAGTGTATGAAGTGTTCTTCTCAAGGGATACCGTTGCTAGGTGACAAAGCGTCCTCTCTTGTACTCGAACGGAGCCGATATTTTCCTTATTGCAACACGGCGTGAAGTCCCAGACAACTTCATTTTAATTGTCCAACTCAGTCATCAGCATCGCAGACCATCAGACTGGGACTTCTGTGCGATGGTGTATGCGTTCATTACGATTCAATACTAGGCTACGATGTTTCGATCTTGGCATGCACGATGATTGTATCTTTTAATATAGGATAAAGCCTTCTTTGTAGAAGTTCAAAGTGTCGTTTTGAATGCATTGTATCATTTTCAAGTAGAAGTCGTCTATGTTGGATGTGTCATGTCGAGATCCACCTTACGTCCGGTCCCAACTATATTTGGGACAATTCCAACTATAGTTGGGACTGCCCCAACTATATTTGGGACCATTGCTGTAAAGTTGGGGCGTGACAGCCTCACCAGATCCATGGAGGCCATGCCAGATCTTAAGAATTAGTATTGAGTGTGTAGGTACCAAACTGTCAACAGATTTATCCACGCACAATAACATGCTTTACGATTTAAAAACTTGAAAATAAGTTGATGTGTACAGAATACGTGGTTGATCTTATTTTCAATTTTCGGGTTCGTCGGACAGCAAATCCTTTGACCGTTACGTTATCAGCTCGAAATTCCAGTAGCCTTAAATTATGGTATCCACAGAGCATGACATGTTTGGTTCGCTGTGGCCCACTGGGGCCAACTGGGGCTAAATTTGCCCTTTGCCACGTTTGTAGAAAAAAAACACAGTATCAAGATTGAGAAGGAGAAAGCTCGTATCCAGGCCTATCGATCAGCAAGTAGGATCAACAGCGGAATGCCCTGGGTTTCTTGATTAACCCCGTGCGACATCTAGCCTTGTTTATGCCGGGCATGCTGGAGAGTAGAGAGGTGGCCACAGGGTCCATTTGCCCGACACATGTCAACTGTACGCAGCGATACTAGCATGGTGCTGCTGCCTGAATTCGACCACACTGCTCCTCCCAGCACGAGCCACCGAGCTAGCAATCAGAAGCTAATTAGCCGCACTTCGCGCGCTAACGTTTTGACATATTGCACTGCGGCGGGGTTCCACTGTATCAGAACCACTGTTCCTACCGATTCCAACTTTAAAATGTTGGTGTTTTGAGGGCAAGTTAGTGTGGCTGTACCGAAGGGAATGAATAATTATATACATGTATAAAAAAAATTATGTGCATTGCATCCAAAGAGTGGTTGAAAACATTTTACAGACTTGTATGCATTACGTTCTAGAAATTGAAGTTGTACTGTATGGTCACAGAGAGGGCCAGCCTCTAGTCCTTTTGTACCGGACACACTGACTGACTGACTGACTGACTCCCCTACTGGACTGACTGGCTGACCTTCACTTGTGATTTAGCCTGGCTGTTGGCTGGTGAAGAGAGCCGGGCAGTGCTATCATATAGGATTACCCCGTAATAAGCTGAATCAGACCCATTGTGCACTTGGCATGGATAGACTTCCAGTGAATAGCCATTCTGAATCAATTGAATAGAATTTGGGGAGCTCTGGAAACAGTTTTACAAGGCTTGTTTCGTCTTGTTTACCAAAGGCCATACTCGAGTTGTCTGCACGGACTGTATACATTTCAATTTGAAATTCTTCCATCCATAATGGCATGCATGGGATCCCATGCATCAAATTCGAGGAAGGTGTATAGCTGCCACGCTCAGTGCTTGATAACATTTTGTTCATGTAATGTTAAAAACAAATGACGACGTGAATGTAAATTACGCGCTGTAACAGGTTGCATGCAACTGATTACGGGGAAAAAACAAGGAAAACATGGAAAACCAAGTGACAGAAACAGCAAGTGAAGGGAAAAAACGATATGTATTTTGGAGCGTGGCTGGCAAATGTGGTAAGAGGTTGGCAACGGAGGATCTCTTTCTTATAAACATTGCAGATGAATATATTTCTTTCTAGCCTATACAAAAGTCTTCCAAGTCGGTTGCTTGCAGTGGAATTGTTTGGGTCACGATGACAACCTGCGGGCCGCTTGTAATGCTCCATGACCTCGATTTAAGGTTATCCCACCGATAACATGTTACAGAAACAGATCTGAACATAGTTTTTCCCTATCACAGCTGTCGCGACCCCGCGTGCATCCCTAGGGGGACATTTCTGGCTTGTGTCAGGGCAGGGGAATTGCCGCATTTGCCCGCTATAAATTGTTGGAGGACTATACGCGGATTTTTTTTATGCATTCGTATTGTTGAACCCGCCCCACGCCGCATGGGTGGATGATAAAAAATTCGGTGCGATTGCTCAATTGTGCTTCCTTCAGCAACTTTCTCCAAACGGGGCAGTTCATTTACCTAGACGGGGGTGTAGGAAAGGGAAGGCGCCTTTAAGTAATTACTTCCTGATTAGAATTCAGTTGTCTGCCGACATCTTCACATGTTCTGAACGTCGTTGTTGGAAAATCATGCTATCTGCCCCTGCAGGCCTGGTAATTGTGGTTGAATCGGAAGAAATGCACAGTTTGATCTTTGACACTGGGCTTTAAGGCTACAAATTGAGGGCTACCACCCCTCCATTCATATTCGTTAACCAGGTGTCTTGTCAAGCCCTTGTGTCAAGCTGTGAATGTGCGTGAGGACATCTACTTTGTCGCATGATACGTGTAGAAATGTTACTTCAAGTTCTGGAGGTAATATAGGATACAACAATCTTGTCAAGAAGATTAAGTTGATATGTTTTTTTCTCCGAATCGTACATAGAGCTTTGTGCCCCCTTCGTGAAAGTGTCAAACAAATTAAACTTTGAGACAAATCAAATCATTCTATTAGATATGATATCACAAATATGCTCTATAGATTGTTTCTTTCGTTGGGATGTTAAAAAAAACCCACCAAAACCACAAGGATTAACATTAGCATAAAGTCGACAATACAAAAAAGGAAATCATACCAAAATAATTCGTTCAGTAATTTAATAACTAGCACTATACTCCAGCCATTCGTCCTATATTTTGGATATAAATATGACTGTGGAACCTTGTTTGTTGAACTGCAGCTGATGGACTCAATCTCGTAAATGTATGCGATTACTTTTTTGCTTGTAATCTGTTCAGGACTTCAGTACATCATGTGGCCCAGATTGATTCTATCTTTTGAAATAGCTGATGTATGCGTACTTTACCGCTCTATTCTTACCAATTAGTCTTCCAGTGATCCTACAAGAAAAATTGTACAAAATCCTATATTTAAAGTTCGTTGTGGGCTTTTCGTCACATCCCATACATGTACATGTATACTATGCCGTGCACCCTATCAATTCTACCAAAAGGCTCCCTTCACAGTGGCGAAAGCATTGTGCTGGGTGTATTGTGCAGATTGTCCACCATGGGGCAGTTGCTGTGTGCATATAGTGGTTTCTTCCATTGGAGGGGTCGCGTGCGTGTATGTGATCACGTACCATGATTCGCCTATAGGCCCTATATGTAACATCCGA